AAACACTCCAGGTCCAGGAAAATGAAATGGAAGTTGCTCTGTTTCACCAGTCTCATATTTTCATGAGCAGCAACTAGACTTGTTTTTTTCAGTAGAGTTTGGTGGTGGCTATGCCGTTTAGTCCAGTGTCAGCATTTTGCGCGCTCCATTTTCGCGCCACTTAAGATGCATCAGCAGCATGACAACATACAGGCTGCAGACATCGATTGCCAAAATATTTCCAGGACTCGAGCGCCGACACGAAATGGTCAAGTGTCTGCTGTCTCCATACTGCTTGGAAATCGTTGACAGCGGAATCTGAAGTAGGACTAAATGAGTATAAAAACTATTCCCAAATGCATGACATTTTCACTGAGTACACTTTAAAGTACGTTATTCCGACATTGTTAGTGAATTTAGAATGAATGCTCATCTTCCGCTGTTTGCCGTTGCGCTTGTGTTGGCAGTGTGGTCTGTCCGTAGCATGGAGATTCCAGTCGTCGAGGGTTGCCGTTTGCGCATTAAGGGACGCGTCCAGATTTCGAAACCATGGCCCATCGGGTTGAGTAACCTTGACATGTACGAAAACGTGCCCGATGTAGTATATTATAGGACGTCGCCGAGCAAATCAGTGAATACGGTCGCCTGATGGCTGATACCAGTCTGCCGCTGTGTCCACAGGACGGATATCCGGACTGCAACAACTGCCGCCCGGGTAATCCCTACGACGATCTGGTCATGACGCAATGCTGCTTCTCGCATCACTGGGCCTGGACTAACAACCGCTCCATACGGGACGTCGCCGAATACCGTGATCATCTCATGCCACAATTTGATCCTTCAAGAGATGCAGTGAAGTGGTATCTTAAGTGCTTTTAATTCACATCCTAATTTTGCAACCTGAAAGTGCAGAAAATTAAGCAATCTCACTTCATCTAAAGTATACGATATTTATAATACATATTTGCAATACCAGCATGATTAGCGTCACTTACATTTCGCTTCTCACTTGATACAATCATGCTTTCTCAATATGGATCCGCGTACCGGACAGTGGACACCAAAGACACGGTATTCTCCGCATTTTTCCACGTCAGAAAACTTGATAATTGCCTATTTATCTTGTCAACGAGATTGTATAAAGAATAATTTTTAGTTATTTAATTTTCGAAAGTTCTTGTTACGTGAAACAACGCGCGCAGAATACCGTGTCCGGTGTCTCTGTCTAGTGCGCGAATCCATATTGAGAAAGTGGGCAGGATTCGAAAAAAGTGCGAGCAAAGAAAAGTACGAGTAATCAGCAGACGAGCTAACTCGACTTATCTGCTGTCGCTTCGAAGGTGATCCTTGCACTTTGGAGCCGTATGAGTCCATTCCCGAAAACCAACCGTATTATCCGTGGAGCCGTCGAAGCAACGGTAAACCCTTTACAGTGCAGACGAAGCCATTATGGCTGACGTCTACTTCAAAGTAACATATATAGTGGCACTTGTGTTCTATTACTTGATCCGGTTTTAAACAGTTTTGTTAACAACTGAACATTCTCACGCGATTTTTTTTTAATATTGCCCGTTTTTCAGCGTCGATGAATTCGAATACGGGCTTGACCAAGCCGGCCACTTACATCTACAGCCGCCTTCCGGAAGTTTAGGTTTCCCAAAACCCGAAGCAATAGGCCCGTGAAGCGCACTGTACACGGCAATGACTGCTTGCCGCGTACAGTGCGCTTCACTGTGATTACATAAATGTTACGTTCAGCCGTTTACTGTTAACGTCGTTGTTGTTTTGTCTCCAAGTTTAAGCCTTATGTATCAGTACGGTTAATTCAAATAATGAATTATGTACGGTAAAATTGTAGAGTTTGTTACACCACGTGTTACTCTGAAGAGGATACAACACTGACCAATCAAATAAATTATAATATTATTCGTAAGAAGACAGACTGGGTTATGGGAATAATGAAAAAAAAATGGGAATTCCGGAGATGAGTGGACTCAATTTCGGTAACTGCTTCGGTTGTATGTTCTCTACAAAGATGTGTCATACTAGCCCAAACAAGCCAAATTGCAAAATTTGTAACAGAATTAATTAAAACAGTCAAAATTCTCAACAGTATTTGCGACGATTCGCATAGCAGCGTACACTGATCAAGCTGTACAGTAAAAGCAGTCTGCTATTTAGCGAAACAGAAATCTGTTCGCAGCTATCTGAATTTTCTCCAGCAGCAGATAAATTAATGTAATATATGAAAATCCTCTTAATTATATCAGTTTGCATTTTTTTCAGTTTTTCTGTATGCGAAATAAAGGAGCCAGCGGAATTTTGGATTTGAGAGATTTCCATAAACTACCACTTGGAAAAATGGCTCTTGCGGTTACTGCACTAGATTACAATATTCCCACTGTACAGAATCAACACGCAAGCCGTGCTTTTCTAACTTGATGAGGTACTGCGTTTTCTAGTACCTTATGAAAGCGTAGTTTTTAGTGCTGATGGCGAATAAAAGTGAAACTCGCAGACTGTTAAGTACTTCGCCAGGCCGCTATGTGACTTACGTCTTACGGATCGTAAATATTCTTGAATTCTGTTCTTAGAGATATATGTACGGTAAATAACGGTGGGGAAAACTGGTTATCCGAAACGACTCCTTGTACAGTTGTACTGCTGCCATCGCCCGGCTGGAGTGTGAAGTTACGACAATACATAGGGTTAAATCAGGCGCGGTACTTACATAAGCGCCATGTTTAGTTACCAACGTAAAATTCTAGCAGGGTGATGACAGCAGTACAGGGAGTTGGTACGGGTGGACTGGTTTTTCCCCTATATACTTCGTGCGGATACATACAATATTTTACATACTAATAATGGTATGCCATGATACAGGCGGTAGTTTTGGACGCTTTGCCACGTGTTACGTAAACGGTTTGACAATATTAATTATGGTATTGAATGTTTCTGTAATACCACATAGCTTAATTTTGAAGGAGTAGTGTCTGGTTATAGCCGTAATAATTATTACGAATCGGAATAAATAGTTACAAAGATGAAAATGGCCACCCATGTCCCTTGGCTTGTCTGACCCGTGAAAGAGGTGACAAGCCACGGATATGAGTGGAGTATTGCTGGTAAAGGTATTTTATCTCGCTCAGCCGAATAATATCCAGGGTCACTGTCCACACGTTGGCTATGGCTCCGTAGCAATTATAAGTTGAGCTGGCGGTATGTGCGTATTTCCTTTAGTGCAATAATTTACTGCTAATGGGTGGCATGAGTGCCTGTAGGCTGCATTCGTAGTTTTGCCACAGTGAGAGATGATGTTGAGGTTTCAGACCAGCAAGTGTGCCGCGGAAAGGATATGAACGATATACTTTTACTCTGCGGTGTTTTTCTTCAGAATTTCAATCTCTTTCTCCATTCTTATCTCTTGCGCATGCAACACCGAAATTTTAGTTTCCGGGGTACCAACATAGCGTACTTGCTTTTTAAGCTGAGGTAAAATCAGTACTTCGAATGCTGCCTTATATGGGCTCCCCTTATATTATTCTCCCTTATCTGGGCTCCCGGCTAGTTAGCAATACCCGTCAAATTAAATTTATCGGAGTTATAGCAGAACCTTTTTGTAATTTTTTCAACCGGATTTACAAGTGAGCACACCAAAGAATTCCGAAATTTCACATCCGAATTATATTTATATATATTATCTATATAATAAAATTTTTCATTAATTTCAACCGGATTTGCCAGTGAACAAACTGAAAAATGCCGAAATTCCATATCACATTATTTTTTTACGCACGCACTTTACAGCAGACAAAATCGCATCTTCACGGTCCATTTGACAAAGTCGCAAATATAAATTTTATCAAGATTTTGAATCTGTCGTTGATACAACCTGAGCACTTTGAAACAAACTAAATGCTACAAAAGTACCGGCAAAATAAATATTTTAAATAAATCAAAATTTTCAGTCAGGCATAACACTGATAACAGCGAAAGTGTGAGTAATAACGTAACCGCCCATGTAGAGGATTGCTCATAATGCTAGGGAGCCCAGATAAAGGAGGGTAATACAAGGGGAGCCCATATAAGGCAGCATTCGAAGTATCTGAAAAATGGCAGGCAGCATACTGGCAAGCGGGAAAACGTGGCAACTGGAGACGCTCTGGATATTATCATGTTTTCTCTTGCAGTAAGAAAGCCTATGAGGCTGCGACTGGCAAAACAGTGAAAACACGGCTTTTTCTCTTCAACATCTTCAAAATATCTGTATGTCGCTATAATCTTGGAAGTTTATACCCGGATAAAGTTTGTTACTTCAGATTATCTGAGCCCCGCATTTCCTAAAACATCTAATAGCCTGACACCATATCCAGCAACTTTGGTTAATCCCTGCAACGAACCCACCGCACTGACTCTAAGAAACGTTTTCGGGAGAAAATTTACGGCAGATCGTTTTAAAAGCATTAGATACTTCATCCGTCCGAAAGGTTTTGCTAGATCCGTGCGTCTACCACCCTAAATCATCGTTTTGCAGGCTTTATGCTGCTCTGAGAAAATATGCTAAAGCAGCCTTGTTAACAGCAATTTTGACTGTAAAATGTAAAATTTCTGCTACGCTTCTGGGTGTGGAGTGTCCGCAAAAAGCGATTGCTCTGTGCTAGTTGTGGAAACGTTTGATGTCTTGGGTCCGGCTGTAAACTAAATGTTACATTTATGGATTGGGAATATCCGCACTTGGTTGGTTGCGTGAATTCTCGCAATGCACCCCGGATTTGCACTGGATATACAGTATTTTTCCCGTGCCTTTAAGTAAAGTTGGATCATTACAGTTAGAAGCCGCACGATCGAAGCTGAATGTTTCAGTTTTTCAGCCGGACACAAGGATCCTATTTAATTAAGCCAACAAAATTTACTAATCACACAACTATTTCTTATAGACATTTGATTCACAAATCATTTCAGTAAAGTTCATTTCACAACGTTACAAAAAGATGTCAACACCTCATGATTCAAGCGTCCTGTTATACAGCGGTTTGATTCGAACTGATCGTTTCACACCTAATATGGCTACACACAATCATCTCCGCATAGACAATGCTGAATCCAACCGCACTGGTTAAGAGAATTGGGAACAGGTTGAGTTTGAAGAACTCCACAGCCCGTACTCGCAGGCCTTTCTGCCACAATATATTCCGCCATAAAAGCCCCGCGAGCGAAGCGCTGAATGTAAAGGACACCGCGCCGATGTTGCTTCCCACGGCCAACGCAATGGAACTCCCGCGCAGATTGATGTCATCCAGCGGGATCTGCCGGAGAATCTTGGTCAACAGTACCGTCGCTAAGATATTCGTCCCGGCAAAATTACACAACACAACGGACAGCAATCCCACGGAAAAGACCGTCGCCGGCAGCGAAGTGGTCAGATGCGCCATCCAGCCGGCAAAGATGTCGATCCACTTGTGGTATGCTAGCGCCTCCACCAGCACGAACTGGGAGAGCGCAAACGGGAGTAAACCGATCGGCAGACGTTTCAGCGAAGTGTACGCCGTGGGGAAGCGCTTCTTCAGGACCTCTTTGGTGCGAATAAGCCAACGAAAGTGCGTCGTAAACCACTTTTGGGAGAATCGCCGGATAACCACGGCCTCCGCCTCCGTGGAATGGCGGACGGATGCGCGTTCCCGTAATTCCAACTCAAATGCCGCGCTGCTCGGTCGTCTCTTAATCCATCCCTCCCAGATAATGTCGAAGAGGAATTTGCCGATGGTAAACGGCAGCGCGATCACCCACACGTCCACGCCCCCGAAACTGGCCCCGATGATCACGATTAAGCAGGACAAAAGCAGCCCGGAGCCGACCAGCGCACTGACCGGATCTAGGAGGACGGAGCGCGCGTCCAGTTGCGGGGCGGTGACCTGTTGGGGAATTTGCTTGCGGAATTGCACCAGCAGGGCGGTATACGCGGCGACAGCACAGCCGAGGAACGGCAGCGTGGTGTACGCGGTGTACATTAGATATTCCATCTGGAAGCCTTCGCACAGCACCAAATTGGTGATATTCCCTAGGAACAGCACCATACTTCCGATATTGCAACTGGCGAATTCCGCAAACAGCCACGGATACGGGTCCATCTTGGCGACGGCGGTGTAGTAGACCAGGAAGGCCGTTCCCGAGAGCACCACCGGATCATTCCCGAGAAGAATGCTCAGCACAGTGGAGAAGAGATAGAACGACGTGTACAGCCGGATCCCCCGGCGACCGCCATGGTTGGCGATCCAGAAGGCGGCCGCCTGCAGCAGTCCGGTGAGATCCAGGGAGATGGCCATGTAGGCCAGGGAGAAGAAGAGAATCATGATGTTGTAGGGCTTAATGCCGCCGGCGCCCACAATCCCGTCGCGGAAGACGGAAAAGGGAATGCACTGGGCCAACGCTAAGATGATGACGCAGACCAGGGGGGCGGTGGCGGTGTCGAGGATCAAGCGCAGACGGGTGCGCGGGATGGGGATGGCGATGGGGAAGATGACCAGGATGATGCTGATGATGAAGAAGGTCAGGGCGACGATGGCGTAGGCGTCCATTTTCGGGTAGGGTATACCGTTGATCATTTAGTCCAGTAATCCACAGCAGGTAAAAAATCTACCATACAAATTCACTGCAAGACCATCGACTCAGTTAAATCGCTGGTAGAGCAGTTCGCTCAAACCCCTCACTTTTTGTTACCCATGCGTTTGAGTTTTCTCGCTTACACTGGTGACTGGTGTGTGGTCGTTATCCGAATGGTCATCTACAGCACATCGTACCAATTATTAGCATTCAGCATTCGACTAGACGTGTCCGGCGTGATCACAATTCCTTTAGCACAAGCAGAGAGAAATGATTATTTGAAAAAAACCGCACTAAACAAACTAAACATGACATAGATGAACTGTACGAAGCAGACAACACGACTCATCAGAACGGCTGTGCAGACGGTGCGCCCCGAGGGAAAACATTTTTTCCGAAGTCAGTGGTAAGTTTGTCGTAAAAGACTATTAATATAAAACTACAAGAATGCCTTGAACTTGCGATGAGTCATGGCACTGATGAGTGGTGAGTAACCGCAAGCTGAATGAAGAATTTTTACTAGCCAGTATTAAAATGCAATAAAAGACCAGCTGTCGCTGCTAGCCTGCTGCAGCTTAGGACGAAATGGTCGCATACCCAACATCTCCACATTTCAATACGCATACAGCGCAGTGCACTGTACGACTTTTTAATATCCGTTTCGCACAAGTGCACTCAGAAGTGGCTCAATCTGTACCAAACTTGGTTTCTGTTGTCACTGTCTCGTTGCGGACCAAACTTCGCGACGATTAGCAGAGACGTTGCGAAGTGGCAGGCAATAAAACGATCCGACGACAGCGACACTCTATACAAGCGCGACAGTGCCGCTACAGCAGCGACCGTGCTTGTGCTATGCCATAGCATAGCGAGAAACACGGCGCGACGACAGCGACACGGTATATAAGCGCGACAGTACCGCTACAGCCGCGACCGTGCTCTAGTGCTGTACGCTGGCATAGCAAGAAACACGGCGCGACGACAGCGACACGGTGTATAAGCGCGACAGTGCCGCTACAGCAGCGACCGTGCTAGTGCTGCACCCTGGCATAGCAAGAAACACGGCGCGACGACAGCGACACGGTATATAAGCGCGACAGTACCGCTACAGCAGCGACCGTGCTTGTGCTGTACCCTGGCATAGCCAGAAACACGGCGCGACGACAGCGACACGGTGTACAAGCGCGACAGTGCCGCTACAGCAGCGACCGTGCTTGTGCTATGCCATAGCATAGCGAGAAACACGGCGCGACGACAGCGACATGGTGTATAAGCGCGACAGTACCGCTACAGCAGCGACCGTGCTAGTGCTGCACCCTGGCATAGCAAGAAACACGGCGCGACGACAGCGACACGGTGTATAAGCGCGACAGTGCCGCTACAGCAGCGACCGTGCTAGTGCTGCACCCTGGCATAGCAAGAAACACGGCGCGACGACAGCGACACGGCGCGACGACAGCGACACGATGTATAAGCGTGACAGTGCCGCTACAGCAACCACCGTGCCAAGGTGTATAGTTAATGGTGATGCGACTGGCTAAAACTTGCTGCATGAAAATTCAGTACTTTTCGGCAAGTTTGCGTCAAAGGCATCAAGTTGTAATTAAGAGCTAAACGTATGGCACGGCCTACAGCCTCAACCGCTCCGAATTTTTTAAAACGGATTGCACATGCTCTAATTAATTTTTCATGCTCTCCATGCTCGTTATCGATTTGATATGAAAATATGATTTTTGCATAAGTCGAATTATGAATATGAGTGAGCATCATATAAGTCGTTGCAGCAATGAGCAGTCTGAGTGAGTGAAACTGCAGGGCGCATACAGACTGCCGCTAGCCCGCTGCCTGCCTGGCCTCTATGTATACATGTCCGATTCAAACCACTTTCCTACTACTTTACTCGACTCAGATGTTTTTTGGAATTTCAAAAAACAAATTATCCAAATCACGTTATCCAAACGCTGACCTATCTTCTCCAGCCAGCCTTCCACTTCGGTGACGTTCAGTTGGCCGTCGCGATCTCCATCGAAACCTTGCAGCATGACCTCCACTGTACGGCTGAGGACGTTTCGCCCGGTCTCCGCCCTCCCCGTTGCAGCGGCCCGTACGACAACCGCTATCACAATTGGAACAAAACCAGAGTGGAATATCCAGATTTCTTGGTGGTGTGGCAAAGGCAGTTGCTTTGGTGTGGCATTGGATTCCGATAGACTTGACGTATTTAAAAGCAGAATTACGGTCGAAACCGGCGGTAATGCAATCCGCGCCATACAGGTTTTCAGTCTCAGGAATATTCGAGGAAGCCTCTTCGTACTACTCACGTTTCTCAAAAGATTGTTGAAGATATTCGCAAATATCTTTCGTCAATTGTGTGCAGAGGGCAGTCATAATGTCAGTAACATTTTGGACATAATCGATAAAATCCGGTTGTAAATCGTAAGTAAAGTCGGGATTGGACATGATTTTAATAAAACCTAAGGTGTAACTATCAAAAAGTCACGGTAGCATACGGTAATTGTGCAACTGTGCAGTAAAGCAAACGCCAAGTCGGGCTTCAATGATTTACGTACGCGAGTAAAAGTGCTAAATTAATTGATCGATCTCGACGTGAGCAAAAGTGAAGTGAATCTCCCAGGGGATAAACTTTTTGCCCCGGAACAAAATCATCCATGGCGACATTAAGCCAAAAAATATTCTCATCCTGCAGTTCGGCTTCACGCACAAGAGGATGCTGATCGGCGATTTTGATGAAAATTTTCAAATGCACGAAACCATTACCAGCCCAAAAGATATCACACATTTTTTTGGAATTATCCGCTAAATACCTCCAGAAATGTTTAAAAGATTTAGATGTGGCAGCGATTTCTCCCCTGCAGAAACTGTAAGAACCGGAAGGAAAATGGATATCTGGAGTTTCGGGTGTGTTCTCTTGGATCTTGGCGAATGTGTTGTCAACATTGAGGAGAAATGGCTTGAGAAAACTGAGTCCGAGAAATCGGAAAGAATCCAAGCAGGAAGAAGCATTACTGATGATGTATTTGAAGAGAAGCTGAAAAACGGATATGTTCCGTTAGCTCCTGACACGATCCCATCAAATATGATGATCTGCATCAAGCCTTGCCTACGCGCAGCGAGCCAACGCAGCCTACAAGCCCTCAGCAGAAGAGCCATTGTCATATCTTGCTGAAGCCTACAAGCAAGCTCCTGGAGACGTATCCGTCGTCCTTCATGCCAATAAACACCGCGAATGGTCACCGATATCAATGCAGGTCTTCGAGCCACTGACCGGCATCGTTCGACCGTTGCTCTTCCCTGACCGTTTGCAAAAGCAGTTGCTTAAACATGCCTTCACCCCAGTCCAGGATGTTGTGTTAAGCCATGTTTCCAATCGGGATGAGAACGATGCCGGTAGCCCGCGGACGATGGCGCTAAATGTACGGGAGTCAAACTGACACGATATTGAACGAGCGGATCTGAGCCAGTTTGGAAAACATACAGTTACGGTATACGATGACGTTTACTTCTGGAATGACAATGAAGCCGGAAATAGCTTTAAATTGTTTAAAGGAAGAAATGGTTCCGTGTCTCCGCTAGCTACGCCGCAGTGGTAATTGCGAATTTTCCAGACAAACTAAAAAACAAACCAAAGAGAAGTTATTGCAAAATTCACTAAACGTGGTATAGTCCAGATACCTCGATAAAAGTTGAATACGGTTTAAATTAAGAAACTACGCTTTGCATAATGAAACTCTTCAACAAATTCATGTACGACCGTTAACTTCCGCTGTACTTAAAATGCTTTTCTTTAGGATTCAACTTGTAGACTGCTTAATCGGATACAAAAAGCACGCATTCTGCAATGGTAGGCCGCTTAATGAGAACACTCGATTCGTGGAACGTTTTGATGCGACAACAGGAATGTGGGCATTCGTTGCGGAGCTTTCAGACGATCGGCGGGACTTTGCTGCAGTTGTTTTCAAAGGATATGTATATTTATTAGGCGGTCGCATTGATTCCGGGGATTGCGCCCAGGTTCTGGAATCGTGTGTGCGATTCGATCGCATCAGTCGAGAATGGAAAAAAGTGTGTGAACTGCTGGAAACCCGGAGCAGATCACTGCGCATTCACGTTTGACGACCTGGTGCACGTGTATGGCGGATGTAGAGCGAGTAAAGAAGGCTTGGCGCAAACAATGGAAGTGTACGATTGCAAGAGTGATTTGTGGGCAGAGTTTCCAGTGCCAGACATGGACGATATTTACATGGATGAAACCTTGAATGTTTCCTATGCTATTAAACTTGCGTTGCACTGCAATGAGTGAAGGTCATGCCAAAAAGCTGTCATCGATTGCGGGTAAAAAAAGAATTTAGCAAACTGAATTTACTGAACTTTGGTTTGATAGACATGGGTTTATAAAATGCCAAGCGCTATTAATAATTATTCATTCATAATTTTTGGTTGTACGATCGCGTACGCTTCTTATGTTGCATCTTCTGAATTATCATGAATAGATATTATCAGATGTAAGTACCATTGAGTACAGAAGAACAAATAAATTCATAACAAAGGCACTTGCTCTATGGTTTCCTGGTCAGGAATTATCTGTACACCCGCGTTTCCTTGTTTTATTTGGACTGATAGCCGCGCTGCGTGAAAACATTTCTTCCTGTTTGTGGTCAGTGGCGTCACCAACAGCTTTTCCAATCTTCTCGGCCTGGTTTTTACTGCTCCGCCTCCCCCCTGGTTCATAAATTTAGAACGTTGTAGGGGAAAAGTGATACTGGGGTTGCAACCATCCCGGTTTTGCCGGGTTTGTACTACAACGTTAGCTTCCGAGTATTCCAAAATAATTTTCTTAACGTTCTCTGTTGTTCTATAGCCGATTAATTTGTTAATTTGTCCAAATATTTTCTGTGTGTTTTACACTTGTATGCGGCGGAAATTAAATATTTATCTAGATTCCAGTCTAAGCATTCTGGTGAACAGTGTCGGTACATGCCGAAAATGTGGTAAAAATTGATAAAAGCCAGATTGTTGTTCAAGCTCTAATTAGCAGCGCTCAAATCTCTTACGAAATTCATTGCAGAAAAAACTTCTTTGACCGGATATTGCCATTCGTTGCTTAATACTTTTTCCTGAATTACATGATTGTATTAAGTTACACAGCGCATGTGATCTGACATGGGCACTTATACAACAAATGTCTCGCGCATCCCTATCAGTGCACATCCAGATGCGTTGTGTCATGCGTACTCTGATCTTGTATTTTCACAAGATTTGATGCAACGGGCAACCATACAGGTTACGTAAAGCCTGTTTACCAGACCCAGCAATCTCGTTATAGGCAACTAACAAAACTGCAATAAAGTTCGTATTCGGAGTTCTAAAAGTACTACGTTTAGTGCGCATCGCGTCGCATTGCAACGAACATTTCGTTGCATTTCGTTGCAACGAACATTATCTGTACAGTGCTGTTTTCTTCTTGACCTGTTCCCAATTGAGGGTGGGTGCCATGTTAATTCCCATAAATGCATGAGGAATTCGACGGTCGACCTGAATTTTATGGCTACCCGGGTTGGTCACCATCAGTAACTCGCCACACATACCCATGGATGGTCTGACCAAGTAAAATGGTTACCATCCAGGGATAGGTGTGGAGAATGGTTGGTGAGGAAATCACGTTTCAACTCTGGCTGAAACGCCGCGTCATTGTCTGCAAACCGTTGACTGCACAGTGTTAAACTGGTAAGTGATTATTCGTAACTTTTAATTAAGCATCATATAAGTATAAGGCTGCAAGTGTATTCTTTTCTCGCTGCGCAGGGGTTTGACCTTTTGATGATTCGACCGTTACACTTTTGGCCTGGCTTGTATGCGCTATTAAGCAGCTTGTAGTGACTGTTGACCGCTTTAGCGTTTTGAGATAGCAAGTACTTTGTCGCAGGAACAAAAAGGAAGGTCGCACAGGGGACACCGACAGTGCGTAATTAGCAAGCAACAACTGAACGAAGTGGATGTAACTACAGTACTGGGAGCAATATCCATTTCCTGCAGTTATGACTGCATTTCCGATCTTGTGGGCCCTAGAAAGTCCATCCTTATGCCCAGATATCGATCCCAAAACCTCTACTTACACAACGGATATCTGCAGCAGCCAGCAGTCAATCTGGGCGAGGCAGACGCTAACGCATCCGTCATATTGGCATGTAAGCTAATGTTTTTTGATCGGTTTACAACTTTTCATTGTTCTGCGCTTCTGACAGCTTGACTGCCTTTTTGATAACCTTTCGATACATTTTGTATGTTATGCCGATAGCTTACTCTGTAATCCCTACTCGGCCGTAGAGTACAGGGGTTATGGCTTGTGGGTTCGAGTACCTCAATCGGCAAATCTTTGCCGAAGTTCTATGAGAGCTTAACCCAGACCTTCTAAAGGTGTTATTTTCTACGAGATATTTACCGTAGTGTTACCATGGTTTCATGTCATTTACGGTAGTGTTGTTTTTTTATGTTGTTATGTCCGTAAACAAATTCCATTGCGGTTGTATTATTGTTCAGCATCACATTTTAAAGTTATATCTGACCACCGGGAACAACAGCAGGATCGAACACAAAAAGCCAGCGATTGTAGATACAGCCACAAAAACAGAATATTGCTTTGACAAGTATTAAAGTGTAATCCAGACAAACGCGCCACCTGTACAGGACACATGCAGTATACCGCGGAAATTAAACAACCCGAGCGCAACCAGCAACCTAATAGTAGTGTACGCCTGCCTTGGCAACGGCCGCCGGCTGATAGCGTCCGAGGTCGCCGGCAGTCATCATGGAGCCAGATCCCGGGGAACCTGGATGATCAGCGTGCATCAACGAGTCCGGGCTAAGACTGGGCAGGGTACCCCCTTCCGAGTGGGCGTGCGGACTCTCGTCGCCCGGACACCCGTTAGTCAGGGCGGTCGAACCGCCGCTCCCGCCGTCCTGCTTCAACAGACTGCGCCGGTATTTGGCGCGCGCATTTTGAAACCACACCTATTGAAAATCAATAAAGAAATATAAATTTTATTCCTGCAAATCAGTTTTTCCGGCCTTAACATAATACTTCATGTGTTAAATTTTTGTTAACAACCGTATGGTAGGCTATGTACAGTCTATCAAAAGCTAAAACTTAATCAGTATAAATGTATTTGTTATTTAACCATATATTTTTCAGATTATTATGTTAGGATTTAAATAAATTACTATTTTATTTTGTGGTAGCTAAATTTAGTAAGTAAAAAGTTTTTCTATTTTATTTTTGGTAGCTTAAGTTTTATTTACGTATATTTATTATCGTTAGCTTTTCTGCGAAATGTTTTCCGAAAACTATAAATAAAAAATGTGACGTACCTGTAAGACGCGTTTCGTGAGACCGGTCTTCTGCGCCAGCTGTTTCAAATCCTTGGCATCGGGATTGTGGTTGATCCCGAAGTACTGTTTCATCGTCCGCAACTGCTGGTGCTTGAAAGAGGTACGCATGCGCTTGGTGCGCTGTCCCGTCCCAACGGACTGCGGACCGCCGGTAGTGCTATTAGGCGAGGAGGAGTCGCGCTGTGCTGAGTGCGAACGCTGCATACCCGGCAGCGCCATCCCGTTGCGCAGATAGCCGAGATTCATAGCCGGCGGACTGCAATCGGCGTCGTCCTCACCGCACGGCGGCGACAGTTCCGTGGAACCTGAGGGAATTTTATTTTTTACTTGGAGGATTTTTTCATCGACTAGCGAATATTATATATCTTAAAATAAATGTATGCACTGAAGAATTTAATTTATAAAAAATTGTAATGCTGATGACCTTTTAATGTCTACCTGAACTGGCCACGGAAGAGCTGCGGCGCGGCCGACGCACATCCCGCGTGACGAAAGGCGGCTGCACGTGAGTGGCCACCTGTGGCGGGTGGTCGGCCTCGGTGAGCATGTCGAAATGGGACGCGGCGCTGCTGCGTCGACGCCGACCGGGAGCGGCGCGGTTGCGAGTGCGCTTCTTCTCCGGCAGATGGTACGCGGTGGAATCGGCGGCCTTGGATTCCGGCTCACCCAGACTCATGTACGTCGGCTTCGGGGAGTGGATGGCGTCGTGCATGGGAACGGCGCGACTGATGGCCATTTCCCGCAAAACCTGCATGGTTAATACTGTATTATCATATTAACATAATACTGTTAAAAGTAATACTGTATGAACAAAAAAAAGTAAAAAACTGAATAAAATTTAAATGACTACTACAGACTATAAGCGTTTACTCTCTAACACATTTCTAAATAAACTATACCTATTTACATTTACATATCTTCGGCATTGTTGCTCTTTATTGCTATAAAATACAAAAAAAGAAACGCAACATCGGCCAACTAAAAAACATGAAAAAAATAAACGAAAAAAATAAATTAAAAATAGGACGAAAAATAAGACAAATGTGCGCAAATATATTAAAACGCTTTTTTATTTGTGCACTTAAAGCATTGGTAAACAATAATTGTTATTTGAAACCTTCTGGATGCATGGGTTCTATCTGATTAACTTGATACTTTTATTAGACGATCAAAATATTACAATAGCAGATTAGATAAGTTACAATTATTATGGAACGGTATGAAAACCTCAAAATAATGTATTACCGCACGTGTTTTCTAAGCCGATGGTTTACATGCGAGTTCGAGCATAACAATTGTGACATGACATCAGTTTACAGTGTGGTAACTGTTTATCCCTCATGTTATGCAAAATGTCTTCTATTTTTGATGCCATCGATCACATCGTACCGCACACGTACCTGCAGATCGAGCGGATCTGCGCGTTGCATGGCGAGATGGGCCGCGTAGTGCTCCAGTGGAGCATGCGACAGATCGGCGGTGCTGTCGGCGTAATGGATGACCGGCACCGGTTGATGCTGCAACGGTTGCGCGGGATGGACGTGCCCCGGACTGGGATGGTGGCTGAGATGGTGGTGCAGCCGACACACCACGTGGCCGTCCTCCCGCAGCACAAACTGGTCACCGGTGCGCAGTAACTGCCCGCACACACCGCAGCGGAAGCAGTCCAAGTGGTACACCCATTTCCCGTCGCGGATCTTCATCACCAGTTCGTTGCTGGAGATCGCGCGCTGGCATATAGTGCAGCACCGGCACTGCGCTTCCCGGTAGCGCCTGCAACATAGCATTTATTTGTCAGATAAAGCATAAAAAAATTTTAAAATAATTTTAAAGATAATAATTTCAGGGAAGGGTTTTGAAAAAAAATTTTCAGAAAATAAATTTGTTTTCTTATTAGCTGTCATCGCGTGACCTTTAGTATGTCTCTAACGCAAGTGTTCAAAGTTTTCTTGAATATTAATCGTGCTAGTCAGTTGGTATTCTGAATCTTAATTTTGTATTTCAAGCAAAAGGAAGTTCAGTTTGTATTCCAAGTAACCTTTAAATGAAGACCGTGTCGAGCTACAGTAATCTATGAACAGAATTAAACTAAGTACGTTTTGGCAAAAAAATTAATGCATTCTCTGTACAAATGACACCTCGCAAGATGCGCCAAGCGCGACTAACGAGAACATAATCGCCCATATTTATTATGAACTGTTGCTCCTTTACACAGACATATTTGCAAAATTCAGTATTATAGTGATATTGCTTATATAAAGTAAATGTTCTCCGCTTAGAAAATACATTCCGAACATTATTAGAATTAACTCTGTGTAAGACAACTAGGTAGCACTTAAACAGGGAATTAAAAAAAATATCTTCCGTTAGTTCCAGTTAGAACTACTCTGTAACGGATTAATTCTCGAAGGTTACTATTATTTAGCAAGACAGAATTTTCCCTGTTTGCCCTCTTGTAAACGCATTTAGTCACGCTCGCCAGCGGGTGACCCCTTCGATGAATAAAAATATTTCTGCATCCCCGCGGAATGTGACCCAACAATGTTACACCTCGGTTGCACGAAGCTTTTTCATGAAAATCAATTGAATATGAAATTGTACGCCTCCGCTGTTGTCTTATATTACGCAAGAGCACCGTGCTGCTTTCCTTGTGCGTTGATTATACAGGAAAGTAGCCGGGCCCGCGTATCGGGGGGCAGAGGTCATGGAAATAGCGGATGCCGGGATGGTGAGAGCGGCCGCCAGCTGTGCTATTCAGCGGCAACATCTCCACGGCACCGTTATAGCGTTATCGCCATAAGAAAAAAGCCAGACAGCGCCAGTTGGCCGCATCCATCGATCAGCGCCAACCAGAAGCCATCCGAATTAATAATCATTATCAATTGACAACGATCTCCCCGCTTTGGCAGATTACCAGACCGAAATAGATTACACCGTCACTCTCTCCCTGTTCCCTGTTCAATGCGTGCCAAAAAACCACAACATCGCTCGACGCCGGGGTTTTAATCGTTATACATCCGCTGACGCGCTTTATCGTTCCCGAAATCTAGTTCGTTTTGTGGGCGATTAGTTTCTCGTTAACTATGTACGCTTCATGCATGTATTAGAAGCTACAAAAAACCACCCTTTTCGTGTTCAAAAAATGTGGTTCAAACAAACTGTTTTTTGGGTGGAAACATGGTGACGAAACTGGATCCGGGGAACACTCGATAAAAAAGAGGCCACACTTGACATTTTTTCAGTGTTGTTTGAGATATCGAGTTCCCATTCAGCGCATCACATTGCATCATGGAAAAAATACAGTTCTTAGACGGATTCTGCGACAACTTGTTTGCCCATTACGGCTAAAAATTGACCTACTATAGAACTATATTTTGTTTTGAAAGCACATTTTTTTAAGTTTTAAAACACTGATATTTCCTCCCTAAATAATTATCCAGCGCAAATATAATTAAATATAAATATAATTAAGGCACACAGTTTTTTCTGCTTTTACATATTACCGGTCTTTATCTTATACTCGTAAAATTACATCTATGGCGTTAAATTCAAGTTTAACGCCATAAATGTAATTTTACGAGTATAAGATAAAGACCGAGTTTTTTATAGATTGTTGTTCAAACCAGCTATTTTTATTTAAGCTAACTCTGAGTTTTGTATGAACGAATATAATAGGTGGAAAACTGAAGCTGTAAATAGTTACCATTCGATGAATTTTAGCAGTGCACTTTTACTGAATAAAAAAGGTAAAAATCAGATTTTAAATTTCTTTCTTTTGGAATTAGTAAATGGTTTTGGTTATTGATTTCTAGAAATCATAAAAATACTCGTAACAAAATCATGGTAGATTTTAAAAGTGGAAAAGGAACTGGTACGAGTATTTTTTAATTGTTCACCGTAAATAATCATCCCGGCACAACAGCTGTCCATCCTTATAAAAACACACCGTCCGCTGTTCCGCACCGCCATTCTCCCCGTCATGCTCCTCCCGCCCGGCATCCAGATTCACCCCGCACAACGCACACTTCAGACACTGACAATGCCAGACCTGTGTCGGCTGCGCTGGACCATCCCTCTGCGGGGCCGTTGCCGCGGCGGCCGTACTCAAAAAATACCGGTCCAAAATGGCCCCACTGCAGCCCGCACAGAACGCCGGTCCCACGTGCATTTCCTCCTCAACACATAACGCTTTACAAAAATTAACCGCGATGGTGTACAATTAATTGCTAGCGACAACTAATCAAATCCGCTAATGTAAACACTATAACAGCGGGCTTTATCAAACGCGGCTGGTGCCGGTGCGTGTCCGCACGTTTTATAAATGTAATCTAATCAAAAGCAGCGTTTCTAAACGGTTTATAATCAATCAGGCCAACGAAAGTGTACCGAAGCACATATAGGCAGTTGCAGGTGCAGGAAGGAATTGTGGAAGCGCGCTCCGCGGGTTGTCCCAACTTTTTCTCCGTTGGATCGTGCATTGGCTGCAAAGCGGGGCGGGAGCGGCGAGCGGCAGGATGCCGGCCAATCAGCGGCGCTGCTTGCGCTTCTCTGGTCTGCAGTGGATATTTTTGGTGCGGCGTCGATACACAGCCGCGGTAAACTGAAACCCGGTTATCCGATTTCAGTTGCAACACTTCTCTGATGACAATCATTACAGTTTATCGTTTCATGAGCGCTTAACGCGCTATCTCTCAAGAATCAACAGAAAAGCTATTTATTTATGGAATTAAAGATAAATACATGCTAAATAATTTATTAGATAAAAAATTAATCAAAACAAATAAAAAGTATGAAACAAAAAATTGTTTAAAAATATAATAAATATTATTTGCAATTTTAAATAAATAAAAACTTTATAATTTATGTTTAATAAATCATTAAAAAAATGCACATTTATAAAACGCTGCTAAAGCTATTAGCCATTTCACCATATTTTGCGGAGAAATTTATATATTTGCTTTCCACGTGTATCGCACATTTAAACGGCAATATCACGTTTATTTCTTTTCGAATTAAATTGATACAGTAACCATTGTGCTTAAACTGTTAAAAGGCGAGTGATTTGTTCCGGTCAGCTGTTGTCCCGCATTACAATACACATCCGCTGGACACTTACTTTTAAAATAAAATTTCGAAAATAGGTAGAGCAGGCATCGATTGTCATTGAGTAAATATTGGGTAAATGCTGCCAGTTCGCTGGAGAGTTAGTAAACTTTACTTTCCAATGGTCAACACGACGGGGCTGAACAGCGACACAGCCCGCGTGACAAAAGCCGGGACAAATGCCGCATCGATCGGTAGAGAGTGTGAAGAGCAGGTAAAAGAGGATCCGTGGCTGTGCAGCCACCTGTGCCTTCCCAGGAGTCCTGTGTGCTTTTGTCCTAGAAAGTCTGTCTTGCTGTTGAATAATCCCGCTTTCATGCTACAGTAGCAGCATCCATTCAGCGCCACTCACTTGACAAATCCGGCTACAGTGCTAAGCAGCACAAGTACGCTCTTCATTAACTCTACACCGTATGTTGCACTCCGAACAATCCAGGTTAAAAATAAATTCCCGTTAGAATTTCATCTGTTTAACAGCACAGACGTTCGCATTTAGCGATATATATTTATTTTGTGTGACCTTTACTTCAGCCGGCATCACGTCGAAAAACTACATAAGAAAACATTAAAAAATAAAATTTAGAAAGTAACAAAATATATTTTATTCAGTAATAAGTAATGCTAATTCTTCTCTTGAAAAAAAAGCTTTTCTTTAGCTTTTAGTTGTCGATAAGTTGAATCTTACATTTTTCAAAGAAACTTTTCGGTAAACTAAAGGAGATCTTTAATTAAATTTTCACGTCAATGCAAAGATTTCTCTATTACAGTATAATTTAATTCTGAGAATAAAATTAATGTTACCTCTTCTTTCAAAAATGCCAGTTATTTATTTAATCTGTATTTTAAAGCATAATTTACGGCTTTCCAAGTTACTATAGAATTTGGTGGGCATGTGTGTACGACCAGGTTTTGAAGATTAAGTGCTAACGATTGTTGATAAAGCGCTAATAATTTTAACAAGCAAATCCATACAGGAAACAGATATGTCAATATTATTACCAACAATTTGTCAGTGTGTTATCACACGGCCGTTGAATGGGCGGCGTGTGATAATGAAACGCTAAGTTGTTTATAAGCCGCGCCGGTTTATCCGCAATGGAAACCAGGAGACCGGCAGCCGGTGTTTGCTTACATAAGCACCGCCACCGGCGTCCCCCGTTGCGCCGTGCACTATGCGGCACCCATCCACATCGCACCCGGCATCCCGCGGTGTATTGTGCAGCAGCGGCCAAGGTGCGCTATAATCTGCATAACATTAACAGTGTGTGAAAAAGGATTGTTGTTCCACGGAGATTACGAGGATGTTCATTCAAACTCTAACCCAAAGTTGTTCGCCCTGGACAAACACCATTCTCCTTGCCACCGTTCAACGTATTCAAATTGCAGAAGGTGCTGGTCAAAACAGAAAAGTTATTAAAATTGTTTTTGATTGAAGGAATAATTATTAAGTTATTGCTGATAATTGTTAACCATTTCGAGTATTTTGCTTTATATATTTTTAAAACATTAAATTATTTGCTAGGCGATATATACTTAAATTACAACTACTGATTTGACTAAATTTTCTAGAAAATAAAACTTAGCTTCCGCTAGTTTTGTGAATATCCTCCATTGTTGTTAATCGATGTAAGCATAAAATCAGGTTTTAGAGGGGTGAGCAAAAAAATGAATTTTAAACTTCTTTTAGGATAAAATTCCAGGAAATAAATTTGATTTCTCCTGACAACCTTAAAAAGTTCCGCTGTTATTGGTCGACATAAAATATGAAGTAAACCTTTTAGAATGAAATTATACTAATTGATTTAAAATTTGTTTCACACATTTTCTAGAAAATAATGTGATTTTTGTTAAGGAGTCTGATTAAACTGCGCTGGTTTTCGTCGATATAAAAAATTGAATTTTCTGCTAGGCTACAAGAACAATTTACATTTTAATTTTATTTTTGGAAAATCCTACATAAAGTTAATCTAAATTTGCGCTAACGAAAATTAAGATTTATGGTGATGAGCGCGCTGCGGGGTGGTTTGCATAAAACGTGAATGACTGCAATCGATGGGCATTCTCAGCCGTCAGGCGAGATGCCAAATAAAGATGCGCCAGAGCCAGAAGCCGGAGCTGGGACGGATAAAAAATTCCTGGCCAGCATCCATCCATCAGCGTCAGCCGGTGACTGCGGATCGCAGAGGCTGGGAAAGCGGGTATTAAGGGCTTTAACAGTGATTATCATCAACATCAATACAGCTGACAAGTGCAATGTAAATAGACGCAGGCAGCGCGGTCTGGCCAGTGTCGTCTGCTGTGGATGACAGCGCATCTAGCGATTAATGGTATCAGTTGTACGTACAGCATCGCGGATGCAGAGAAGAGCGCGATCGGGTATCGGCTGCGGCGTCGTGTTACCGCGGCTGTATAACTGACACTTGTCACACCACTGACGTGCTAACTGGACCGCGACCAAATAGCTGTGCACCAGCGAGACACAAAGAATGGTGTCCTTTAAGGACAATCACGACGGCTGCGCTGGATACACACTGTGCGCTCTTCTCCATCAAAATGATACTTCAGAATGTTGTTATCTTATTGTAACCATACACTTTCGAAATCTATTGAGGATAAAATTATTAAAGAATTTTGCAAAATGTATTTTTGTCTCATACGTGTTTGTATATCATTTTGTGTACCACGGTAATTTCTAGTCAGTTTAAATCAAATTTCTACCGATAGATTTTTTTTTAAAAAGCGGATCTATGAAAGTGTCGTGATATTAAAATACATGCAATTTTGTCTTATTAAGTAAAATGCTTCAGTAAATTAATTTTTGAATGGGCAATAGTTATAAATAATTATAAATAAATAATGGAAAAAGCAACTTATTTATTTGATTTATTTAAAAAGTTCGTAGAATAAAAAAAAAGGGTTTTAGTTTTTACTCCACGTTTTATGCTTTATAAAACGCATAGAAATTTTCTGCAGCATTTTTTAGCAAATTCTTTTAATTTTCTTTTAAGTCGAAATATTTTTGTAAAACTGCCGCTGGTTTTTCTAGTTCACACGCGTGTGATATCCGTGCTTATTTTAAACATCCAGGTGTGCACGTATTATTAGGGAAATTAACGCTCGGTTGCATAAACACACCACAACCAGACTCGATTCCCTGTAACTTTATCCGCGGGCATATTCGTATACACACTGTAAGAACAAAGTGCGTAATAGTGCAGAAACAGAAAGCGGAGCTCTGTGTGTCGCGGTAGAGCACAGCTGGACAGCGGATGCGCCGGAGGGTGCCATCCCGCTTCCATGCTCTCCTTCTCGGCACATATCCGGCCACAGCCATCCCTAATGAGCGTTATGCGGTACTCTGCACGCCTGCGCCACGATTTAATGAGATTAATCAGCTTCGTTTGGGGGATACGCGGCGTTTCCGGTGCGGATGGATCCGGTGTGCGCGGGATCGATGCTTTAAGCCGGTAATCTGGGTAAATTGCCGATTGAGCAAACATATGATGGGCGCCTAATTGGGACCAGTGGGCATTCAACGGTTTTAGCTGGGTCAGTTGCAGATATTACAGAGAAAATGCCGGTTGAATTAATGTGGTCAGGCAGAAAAATAAAGTGGACCGAAATTTCTAGAGCGCGCTTGGATTTTTTGCTGTACTAATGCTGATTAATTGAGGACTACTTAATAGGTCACGAGGATACACAAGCAGTGAAATTATTCACCCGGCAAAATCGTCATTACAACGCGGAATCTGTTGAAGAGCAGCAGTTCGCACATACCGGTATACAGTACATTTTTCTTAATGAAGAAAACCTCCGTTTAATATTTTTCAAAATTGTTACGAGTACTCGCGTATAATTTGACCGTCAAGAGATTAGCTTATAATATATAAAGTATTTGTCCAGTTAATTATACTTCAAATGCATTTAAGAACGGTTGTCATGCGGAGGATTATATGGATTTATGTACTGATATTAGTTTTGTTGACGGTGTCACTCAATTGTAAGCCAATCACAGTTGAGGATCTGATGATTTTAGCCAATGTATCCATCAACGGAACAGGTACATTTTGTGACAGTATTTAATGTAAGGAACGACCGTCCAAGGAAAATGGAATTCCACGGATGGAATCCAGTTTCCAAATCCGCGCTCCACGCGGGCGGCTCGGATTTGGAAATTGGAATTGTGGAAATCCGTGGAATTCCAATTTTTGCTTGGAATTCCAGATTTCCTGTATTTGGAATTCCAAGCGCATGGAAATGTCAGAGGAAAACAATAAAAACAAAAAAAGTTTTAATGTTTTCGACAGGTGGCTACAAATTTTACATTACCTTGTCTTCCGGTAGCATCCGATTTATTTAAAAAACAGCGTATTCGCCAGTATATTCGCCGACAACGTTACCGTTTTCATTTTATTACGCTTGTATTCGCCGACAACATTAACGTTTTTATTTTATTTCGTTTGTATTGTCCAATATTAAATATACCAGGGGCAGAAGTCTTCTTGATCGGTCCGACAAAGGACAATGTTTTTCTTCAAAAAGTTCTCATAATTTGGTCACCTGGTGTTAAAATTTCTAGATTAGTGTTCGTAGTATAAGCTTCGCTCATATATTTCGAAGCATGATCTTAAATCCATAAAAGAATTTTATGAGTACAGAATAGTGGAAAAACAAAATAAAAAAACACCTTGTGCGATCAGCAGGTATTCGCGTATCGCCGCTTGGGGGTGGGAAAAGTGTAAGTACCGGTAACGGAAATATGTAACCGTATACTTGAAATTTTATTTAAAGTGACTAAAACATGACAAAAATCAAAGTCATCTTCTTGGAAAGAATGACAATCTTCCGAGCTTTTGTGTTGCTTTTCGCTTTTTTTAACTTGCGTATGCATGCCCACTGCATGGCTGACAGTACTAGTATCCGTACCGGTACTATACTATAGAACATACTTACGTTAATACTGCCTTGGTTGATAATAAGCAGTTCCATTCGTGTTTTTTTAATATGTTTGGAGTATTTAAGTTTAAATGAAGTTTCTAACGACGAATGCGCAGTAATTTAACAGTTGAAGTTAATTGAAATGATTTTTTCTTCATAGTTATGTAAGTATGTAGTTAAATAACGGTATTCCAACGAAAACTACGAAATCCTTGGATTTACGGAAATCCGTTTGGATTTCCGTAAATCCACGGATTCCATGGAATTCCATGGCAATTTCCTTTCCAAATCCTTTCCACGGGCTCGCGCCCGTGGATTTGTCCTCCTTAATTTAATGTGTCATAAAAGCCGTTTAAGCCTTTGTACTTGTCCGTAGATATTCTACAGCAGTTGACGCAGCTGACAGCATCGGATGACAGAGTGGTCATCAATGTGATCATCACCCCGCAAATGTCCCTAACGCCCACTTTTATCACTAAGAACGGCACTAATATCGACCTCACCGGAAACAGCTCGGTTCGCCATAGAATTCTAAGTCATTATTGCAGATTACCAGAAATACGAAAAATGTATGCGATAAAGTAGGGGAAACTTTAAGCTGATTTTTATTTGCAGTTGGCTTTGGGACTTGGACCGAACTATGGTTCGAACGCATTTGGAAATACCATTAAAGTATTGTTGCGGAGAAATAATAAGAATTTCTTTTTTCCAGGTCCCACGTATGGCAATTCATATGGAAATACGTACGGTAAAAACAGACAATTTCGCAATACTTACTGAAAAATCGGAATATACTCTTAAATAGATATTGTAGCAACGAATAAATATATTTTGCTGTGTGTAGAAATATAAATTAATAAATTGATTTAAAAATAAAACAAAAGAAAGGCGTTTTGTCATCTTCTGTTGCGGAAATTAAATAACAAATTCGTTACTGGCTAATTTTCAGGTCCAACGCACGGCATAATCTACGGCCCAACCTACGGTGCGTAAAGCGTCAACAATTAATTTTACTCGCTTTATTCTTGAAAAGTTCCCCGCATCTTCTTTAATTGCAGGCAACACCTTCGGGCCGAGTTACGGCGCGACTTACGGTAAGAAAACAGGAGCATTTCATGCTCAAGTGGATGTGATTAACGCTCTTTGTACAACCCAGGGACCACGCACAGCATCGGACTGGGACCTAGTTTCGGTGAATATCTCCAGTTCCACTTGACTGCAAAAATTGAATATCCGTGATTGCGTCCGTTAACTGCTGTATGGTGCTTTGTATAGGACCGACAATTGGACCATCATTTGGAGCCACTTACGGTAAGCTCGAACAATACGCGCTTTCATGTCAATTTAAATTTACGGTCAACAGCTCGTTTGCTTGTGCTGATTTCTCTTTGATTTGTTAGACTTTTGAACAACAGAAAATTGTGCTAATTTCTCTGGTTTAATGGAACAGTAGAAAATACATTTTTCGGTTTTTAGGAGCAACATATGGACCGATGTACGGAGCCACGTACGGCCACACTATCGGATCGTCCTACGGACCGACAATCGGTACGTCACTCATTTGCTAGCTCCTCGAGTAAATAAAGTATGCGTGCGCTGTTTCTCTGTTAAGGTCACACGTTCGGTCCCAGTTATGGCGCCAATTACTTCTTGCCGAAGCCGTTACCGCCCGGCGGCGTCACAGCCAACATAACTTCTGTAACGAACAGCACCGGACCAACCGGCAACCTCGTAAAGACCGCTACTGCCACACGTGAGTTTTTGCTTAGAATATATCACGTCAACCTTTCAAGCGGTAATAGTGAGATTCAGAACAAGAAAAAAATTTTACTTGACTTGCTCGTGCTCTTTCTTATTTTATGGTGCATATGTTGCACGTCTTTCAGAGACGATGGGCGGAATGGGGCGCTGGAATGGACTGGACTTAATGTGAACGGTTGGTAGTTTTTTTTTATCGAGGAAATTGCGTCAAAATACGCTGTGGTAGTAGTACAACTACAGAATTACAGATTTTTTATTATGCTGTGAATAAAATCGATAAATGACGATATCAGATGCTTCTTTGTCTATTCGTGTTTGCGTATTTGCACTACTGTGTATAAATTCTGTAGCTGTGTCATAACGTGCGGAAACCCTACTAAAAAATTATAATGTTATGTGGGACAAGTGTAAAAATTAATTATAAAAGCAGCGCCCACTGAAAGACGTACAAAATTTAAAAGCCAAAAAGCAACCACCGGCATTTACATAATCTTAGACTTCTATATTTTACTTATTTGGGCGGACACATGCTGCGTAAGAAAACGAGCAGCTTTGCCGCCCATGTGTGGTGCCGATTCCAAAATTCTCCGCGGATTCTTTAGGTATACAGCCATGCCGCGGCTCATAGAACTATTAAAATGTGGGGAATGCAGAAACCGTTTTTTTAAGCACTATATAAAAAGCTGACGGAAATCACGAGTGGGAAAAATCTGAGCTAGTCACGAACCTCACCAGCTTCTCGGTCCATTCTGCCGTACTGAACTTCGCTGTCATTTTTTCCGGAGCGGACTGCCACCAGTTGGCAGTCGGTTAAACTAGAATAATTACAAAGACTAGTCTTTGTACACTATTTAGTTTGCGGCTTGTTTTCGTTAGGTCTATGGAAAGTCTGTAACCAAAATGTTACACGATTCTGATTCGCACATTTTGGGGGGTGGTTTAGCACAGCACAAGCATCAAGTTACACAAAGGGAGATACTGTAAGGGACTATCTATTAACTACGTTCCGAAAATTCGTTCTGTACGTATTTTGTGTATGGTCCCTAACTATACCGTTAATTACAAATTTATAGTACACGAATAATAATACGTAATTTGCACAGTGAGTCCGCGACGGAATGTTTTCGCTCACTGCGAAGCAGACAAGAAAACGCCACTTCGTGTTTTTACAAAATTGCAGCTGGGCACTGCACAATAATTAGCTGGCGTTTTCTGCTAGCTTGCCGGCTTTTTGTTAGTAAACCACGGTAATTGCTTTTCCAGTACAGAAACAGCGTAGCAAATTCGGTTTATTCGCTCGCTTTTTGTCTGCCGAAGTACTGATATCTTCCAGATGACAATATCTGTTTTGATAAAAGTGGTACTAAATGATTATGCATTTATTCACGTTTGAAACTACTGACTGCTTACGCTTCCAGCAAGGCGAGCAAACAGTATGTGCCACGCGGAAGAGAAGTTTTCTTGGCTGATCTAACGGATAAACAAGTGCAAGGTTGCAGTAATTTGTCCGTACACAGGAAAATTAACCCATATTCCATAGCAAATGCACTAAAAGTATACGAATAACCGGCGTTTACGAAAAGTTTATTCTTAATAAAATATCGTCACCATAAACTGTTTTCTAATTTACGAAACATCATTATAACACCAATAATTCACGAAATAATAAATTCCATGCAGAGATTTAGTGTACTGGAGCATCGTGCTTGCAGAACACCGTTAATTTTTCTACATATACCCCATAAAATGTTCTTCGTGCCCACAAGAACAAGTTCTCAATCAGCGGTCGGAAGCGTGGATGGTTAGTCAATTGAGCGGCGTCTGTAGGACTGGACGTTCTGTCCCGGTGTGGCAAAGCGCGCGTGATCATAATTGACATAGGAAAAATTAAATCAGCAGCCGGTCTGCTGTATGCATGTATAGTATATCATGGACTGGACGAGGACACTGCTGTATGCGATGTACAGTACTATCTGTGCAGAGCCCGCAGCAGTGGCATTGTCCATCGTCCTATTGCCAGTGCATGCTGAATTTAATTATGATCTCGGTAGCAATTCATCAGATACAAACATTAGGACATTCCGCATTTTCGTAGCAAATAATTCCGCTGATCAAACAACGACATCAGTTCCAGCAAATTTACGGTGGACGGACGCTTGCTAACTATAAGGCGATAGGGCGGTGGCGAAAATCAAACGAATTTAACTACCACAAACTGCACCTTGTGCCGACCTTGGCCTGCGATTAAATGCATCTTAGGCGCGTGAATGTTATAAATGTTCACAGATACATCATACATTGGTCGCCGTGTCAGCGATCATGTTTACCAATTTAAGGGATTTGGCCCGGTACATAGCACCAATTTCGTGTACATACGCGGGAATATTCGCTTTCGCGCACTTCCAAACACTTTTCTGGGTTGTCTTTTGACATTGTGTAGCCAAATGATTTGTATACATAGGCGTGAAATCCGTTTTCGCGCGCAACATCCGGTTCGGGAGATATGGGTGATAAGCTTAAATGCATTTCAGGGGTACCAAAAGTCTCATTATGGACCGATCCCTTTCAAGTTTTGCACGTAAATGCACATAACCATGAAGATCGTTCTTACAAGGATCAAGACTTCCACGATTTTTTTCGAATTTTAAAATGAATTTTAAAATTTTTGAAATTCTAAAAAGGTGCTAGAACAGTGGATCGGTGTAAGAACGATCTTCATGGTTATGCGCATTTACGTGCAAAATTTGAAAGGAATCGGTCTATAATGAGACTTTTGGTACACCTGAATGCATTTAAACTTTTTGGAATTTTCTTACAGCCATAACTCCCGAACCGGATGTTGCGCGCAAAAACGGATTTCACGCCTATGTACAAATCTTTTGGCTACAAACACCATAAAGCAATTCAAAAAACTGTTCGGAAGTGCGCGACAGCGAAAGTTCCCATGGATGTACACGAATTTGGTGCTATGTACCGGGCCAAATCCCTTAATACACTCATGCGCTAATACAGAATGATATTAAATCTCTCAACCCAAACTTCAGTATAGCTCTGAGGAAATTAACATGCACAGAAAAAGACGTCTTCAGACACAAATGCTGCTAGCGATCATGTCTACCATTCAATACCCTCCCGTGCAGAGAAAGAAAGTGTCAATGATTATTACATTGTAGGCTGTGCAATTGTACAAAACATGAACTCTTTGAAATAATTATACCGTTGGGTTACCGCGTACAAAGGTCACTATTGCACAATTATATTTTATCATGCATCGCGTATGTACTGCAAATAATCGCATTCCTGGATCGGCAACTTGTACAATTAGCGGTGTTTAAATTTCTTACGTTTTTGCGACCGTTCAGTACCAGGCAAGCACTTGCAAAAAGTCCTTGCCGTAAATCTGCTGGCAGCTATGCTTCGTTAAACTTAATGCATAATTACAAAGTAATATTATCTGGTATACGAAGTATCGATGATTTGATACACCGTATGCTCTTACTATCGGTGCTTTGCGCCATCCCTAATTCTTTTACCTTAAAATTAGCTGCTACGAGACGTGCAGTCATTTATACCTACATGTACTCTGTAGTTGTACTCAACGGTGTAAACAAGTGTTTATGCAAGTGTTGTAAGCTATCTAAACAGTGTTCGGCTGGAATTTTTGACCTGCAAACATAAATATTAATAAGGCTTCCTTGATATGTGCGACAACCCTCCACTGCTGTGCACAAATCTCTGCGAAATCTCCGTGATAATCTTTTGATTAATAATAATTTCAATTGTTATAATGTTTTAGTTCGTGAATATTGGGTTTTCTTCAACTAACGCTATAATATTAATATTTTAAAATATTAAATAATCCGGCAACAGAATGGGAATTTTGTATTTGACGATTTGTATATTACATATAATATCATACTGGTGAAATTACATTAAGTTTATATTATTTCATTTTCTGACGACGCAAGTACATCAGTACATTAGCGAGAACACCATACATACGTACTATACATCCCGAGTTCTAATGAGAGCTGCGCCCTTAGTTCAACACACAATTCCCGGAGAAGCGAGTCTAGCCACCGGAAATGCATTGCGACACCGTATATGTGCCAACACGTTATAGAATAGCAGAAGAACAATAATTTTGTCACTAATGTAAAGTTGGTGCAGCCTTTTCCGTAGATATTTAGTATTACAACAAACCTGTGAATCTATGGGATATTTTTTCCGGTTGCAACCAAAATGAGCGACCGGAAATGAAAATAGGTATAGACTGCACAGAATAGTAGATAGTTGTTGGAGATCCTAAAATTAAAACGTTTCCGTGTTTAACATCTCGTTACGACCAACTTCAAGCTGTTTCGAAAATGAACACTTTGGACTGACGTTCTTCTTTTCAATCTGCGCTATACAAGAAGAAAGATTTGTTAAGTTGAAAATGCATTGAGTAACCGAAAACGGGTAACCAAATCATCTTGCACAGCGTCCTATTCTTTACTCTGTTTTCCACAAAATCAATGCCGTATATACGGTACAGTCACACCTTACAGGATACAGTTATCAGCGGAAATTTACAATTCCTAATTTAACATGATGTGAATGTAAACTAAACATAATAACATGAATGTAAAATATTATTGTGAGTATTAAAATAATTTTAAGAGTATACTGAAGTATTAAATTACTTGGAAGTTGGAATTTATTTATAATTATTTTCTAACAAGTATCAATACATTACTACATTCATAAATTTTAAAAAGTTAGCCGTTTGTGTTCTAATTCACAAGAACACAGACGGCTTCAGCAGTATAATCCGTTACTGCTGAAACAATATTGGATTATTGTATAATTTGTATGCAGTCACTGATAATAAATATGGCGTAGTTGCTCCATTCCATAGAACATTATCTGATTTTACGAAAGCCTACATTATTCCGTGCGAGTCGGAGCGCTATATTTTGTACGGCTTTTAATGTGCCGCACAGCCTTGAATTTTGGCGAGGCATATACGCTGCTAATTATACGCTGCTGCAAAATAATTACATAAGTACAATGTCGATATTTTATCAGGTGTACCGTAAGAAACTAAGTTATGCACACCATACGACTAAACCACGAAGAACCAGCTAAAACAAATTACCCGGCAGAAATTTCGAATCCCTGACAAAATAAGCACAATAAACTCCAAAGTGGCTGAACTCAAAGGGAAAAATGAGGCACCATGAAAAGCTGCAGCCGCGGTGTCCCCCGGACTGAACCAGGACACTGCTGTTCATTTTGTACCTTACAATTTTGTGCAAAATTCGCAACAGTGGCA